AGGAGATGGCGGGAGGCGGCGGACGGGAGGTGGCGGAGGTGGAGAGGAGATGGCGGGAGGAGGCGGATGGGAGGTGGGTGAAGGCTGAGGGGAGATTGGCGATCCCAATGGCGGGAGGGAGGTGGGCGGAGGCAGAGGCGGACAGAAGGTCGGTGCTGGCCGAGGGGAGGTGGGCGCGCACTGTTTCTTTTTTGTTTTTCATTTTAAAGGCAGGCAGAGGGATGGCGGATGTGCGGGCAGCGGAACGAAGGCCAAAGCGCAGGTGAGCAAAGGTGGAGGAAAAGTGGGCGGAGGCAGAGAGGAGATGGCGGGAGGCGGCGGTCGAGATGTGGCGGAGGCCGAGAGGAGATGGCTGGAGGCGGCGGACGTCAGGTGGTGGAGGTGGAGAGGAGATGGCGGGAGGAGGAGTGCGGGAGGAGATGGCGGGTGGATGTGGACGGGAGGTGGCGGAGGTGGAGAAGTGGCGGAAGAGGGGGAGGAAAGAGAGAGAGGAGATGGTCGGGGGAGGCGGAGGGGAGATGGGCGGAGACGGAGAGGAGGTGGGCAGAGGCGGGCAAAGGTGGGCGAAGGCGGAACGGGAAGTGGACAGAGGCTGGGCGGAGGTGGGCGGAGGCTGAGGCCGGAGGCGGTGGCGCAAGCCACGGGCTCTCTCTCTCTCTCACACACACACACACACTCACACAGGGGATAGGGAGGCGGAGATGGAGAGGAGTTGGCAGGAGGAGATGGTGGGAGGTGGCAGAGGCAGAGGGGAAGTGGCGGAGGCAGGGGAGGAAAGAGAGAGGAGATGGCGGGGGGAGGCGGACGCGAGGTGGGCGGAGACGGAGGGGAGTTGCGCGAAGGCGGTCAGAGGTGGGCGGAGGCGGAACGTGAAGTGGGCGTAGGTGGGCGGAGGCCGAGGCCAAAGGTGGTGGCGCAGGCCGCGGGCTATCTCTCTCTCTCACACACACACACCCACGCACACACACACACACACACACACACACACACAAGGGATAGGGAGGCGGAGGCGGAGCGGAGTTGGTGGGACAAATGGCGGGAGGAGGCAAACGGGAGATGGCGGAGGCGGAGGAGAAGTGGCGGAGGTGGGGAGTAGAGAGAGAGAGGAGATGGCGGGGGGAGGCAGAGGGGAGGTAGGTTCGGCCAATTGTCATGTTAGCAATTTCTGTAACTTGGTCGTTGGCAAAGTCTGTGCTGCAGGGCCGTGCTCGCGTGGCCTGTTCAAATACAAGTACATAGTACGCCGACTCAACTCTCGGTGGTGCGGGTGAAAATTCCATTCTCTGCAGTGCATCTTTCCTTGGACCGCGACAAGCAGGAGGACAGCGGGTATCGCTCCACTACTCACAACATGCAGAAAAGACAACTTATGTCCGAGTATCTTCCCGTGTTCTGACAGAAGAGGAGCGGGAGGAGGGGTGGGATGCCAAGTGGGAGAACGTGGGAAAGGTGGACGAGGGGGAGGACGATGCAGACGAGGAAAACGAGTGGCAGGAAAAAGAGTGGAAGGAGGAGGGGGAAGATGATGAGCTGGAGTGGAAGGAGGAGGGGGAAGACGAGCGGGACGACGAACACAAGCTGGGGAGTGGCAGAGGACCTGTCTCTTATACACATCTAGATGTGTATAAGAGACAGCACACACACACACACACACACACACACACACACACACACACACACACACACACACCTGTCTCTTATACACATCTAGATGTGTATAAGAGACAGAACATAAGGAGCACAGTGGTTCTCTCGCTCTACCACTCACCACATCCAGAAAGACAAAATACGGCCATGTCTCTTTCTTTTTCTTTTTTTTTTTGCGGTACGAAGACCAGTGAACGGGAAGGAGCGGGAGGAGGCGAGGCGGGATGACGAGCGAGGAGGGGAAGGACGACAAGGGGAGGACGAGGAGGAGGAGAAAGAATGGCAAGAAAAGAGAGGACACAGGCCGGGATGATGAGTGGAGGGAAGGATGAGGAGGGGAAGGACGACAAACATGAGGAGACCGAGTGGCAGGAAGCGAGAAGCGGGAACGAGGTGAAGGAGGAGCACAGTTGGTCTTGCTCCACTACTCACCAAATGCAGAAAGAAAAGAAACTTATGGCCGTGTATCTTCCCATGTTCTAGCGGAAGATTCATTCTCATTTTGCACCTCTGGGGACTAGTGGTGCAAAGGAGCGCCAGGAGGAGGGGCCGTATGACAAGCGGGAGGACGAGGGGGAGGAGGAGGGGGAAGACAACGAGCAGGAGCAAAAGGACGACAAACAAGAGCACGAGGAGTGGAGGCGGAGGAGCGCAGTGAAAGGGGGGGGAGGGGGGGAGCGGCAGAACGACGAGCGTGAGGAGGAGGGCGCTGAACAGGAGGAGGCAGAGGGGCAGGACAAGAAGTGGCAGGAGGACGTTGACAAATGGGAGGAGGAGATTAGGGGGCCTTGGGAGGAAGACGCAGGAGAAGCGGAACGAGGAGGGGGAGGATTACCACTGGGTGACGAGCGGGAGGAGGATGGCAACAAATGAGAGGAGCGGTGGGAGGAGAAGAAGAAGCAGGAGGAGGATGAGCGGGATGAGGATGACAACAAACAAAAGGACGAGCAGCAGGGGAGTGGAACGTGGACGGGGACAATGAGCCCTAGGAGGAGGGGCAGGGGAGGAGCGAGAGGAGGAAGACCGGGAAGAAGAGGCAGTAGAGAACGAGGAGCGGGATGACCGGCCTCCCACCCCATCCCGCCCCTCCTCCTACCACTCCTCGTCCCTGTCCTACGAGAGGAAGAGAAGCAGGAAGAGATGACAAAGGAGAAGAGGAGAAGAGGGAGGAGGGCGAGGGGGACAAGGAGGAGGGGGCGCAGGATGTGGTGGCGGAGTAGAAGCCCGAGGAGCGGAAGGAGAAGATTTCGGAGGACGAGGAAGTGGGCGGGGAGGAGGTGCGCAGTGAGGACATGAGGGCAGAGCATGAGGTGGCAGGAGGAGGACGGTTGGAGAATGTGACTGGAGGAGGAGGTGGCGGCGGATGAGGAGTGGGGGGATGGGCCATTTGCGCTCCGGTCGTTTTTTCTTTCTTTTTATTTTATTTTTGAGGGCGGAAGATGATTGTGCTCCAGCAAGTCAAGAAAGCACATCAATTATACACACATATGTTTCCTTCCATTTGGCCTAAGGACCCCTGATCAGCATTGATGGCTCCCTGTTACAGCAGCATGGACTGTCAGATTGCACTTCTCATGTATTCCTCTCAGATTCCATCTGTGGGCCTGTAAGCTTTGGCTATCCCCCTCTAGAATCATTTTGTTTTCCATCCTGTACCAGTCCTCGAGTACGTACGATCCCCAGAATGGATAGGGAGCGAGGGCCACAAGGACATGTTTTTTTATTTTTGAGGGCGAAAAATGATTGTGCTCCAGCAAGTCAAGAAAGCACATCAATTATACACACATATGCTTCCTTCCGTTTGGCTGAAGGATCCCTGATCAGCATTGATGGCTCCCTGTTACAGGAGCATGGACTGTCAGCTTGCACTTCTCATGTATTCCTCTCAGATTCCACCTGTGGCCCTGTCAGCTTTGGCGATCCCCCTCTAGAATCATTTTTTTTCCATCCTGCACCAGTCCTTAGTACGTATGGTCCCCAGAATGGATATGGAGCGAGGGCCATGAGGACATGTTTCTGGTATTAAAAAAAAAGAAAAAAAAAAGAAAAAGGAAAGGGTTGTGCCCCCTCTCCTGTTTGTAAGACCTGGCTGGAGATGTGGGGCAGGAAGCGGTATGCCGCGGGCGTAGCCGCGGTGGGCCGACTTGTTTGCCTAAAATGGCAAATCACTTTTTCACAGGCCAGTGCCCAAGGCAAAGTACACAACAATAGATCAAATCGCACTGGGGCGTGAAGAGCCTCGCACCCTCTCCACACAAGATTTCTGTTCTTGTTGAGCTGATCTTAGGACACATGGCATTATCTTCTAAGTTCTACCAGATTTGCGGCTGCAGCCAAACTCCCCACCTGACAATGTCTTTCGCTTGGATTGGACAGGCACCTTGGATGGAGAAGCAGGGGTAAAGCCCCGACTCCACCTCGCAAAATAAGTAAAATAACGTTAAAAGTAGTGGCATTTCACTTGCGACATAAAGCTTACTCTACACCTCTCAAGTCATTTCACAGCATCAACCTAGAGCCATGCTCAACAGGGTCTTGTTTCTCCGCCGATTCTTCCGAGCCCATTCGCTTGACTGTGGTTTGGCAGGATGGTAGATAACAGTGGGAATCTCATTGAACGGCTTGGCTTTCCAGGCGTGACCACACTAGGGCAAATCTGGACAGTCTGGGTCTAGATGTCCAGTTGGTCTGGATGCTGTCCCCGGTGTCCAGACAGTTTGAGTCAATCCTTGCCATAGGTCCCCAGATGGATGTCCAGATTTGATCGGGGATCGGGGTCGACCATTCGTATTGTCTAGCATGTCAGAGGGAGTGGCGATGAATTATTCAGGAGAATAAGAAGAAAAACCACGAAGGACTGGTGCAATAACAATTTTCAGCAGACAAGGAATAATAGCTCCCACAACCGACGATGTTTCATAATTTTATTTTTTTTGAATTTATTGTTCTTTTTCCCTGCAACCAGAGGGAACTTACTCGTAGGTCAGAGGACAAAGCAGCTCTGAAGGCTGATATGCAGCTTTGTATGTCATCTTCGAGCACGTATGAACATAGTACCCTGAAAAAGTAGAAGAGAGACCACACATACATGGCAGCACTTATCTTCATGATCAAGAAGAAATGTAATCGGTTTACTAGATTTTACAATTTTGAATTTTATAATCCCGTTGTCTATCCACTATTATAATTGACTGATTGTTCTTTTCTGAAGGGGAGATGCAATTTGAACTTGCATTTGCAAAAATTTTCGCACGTGGCACGTTGAGAGTCAAAAGACTCTTAACACAGAAACAGCCACAGCCCTCCGCCACAATAGATAGCCAACTTCCTTGTCTTCTTCCTTATCACGTTTGCAAACATTTTCGCAAGTGGCAAGTTGAGGATCAAAACGTGGAAACAGCCACAACCCTCAGCCACGATAGTTGCCAACTTCCTTGACTTCTTCTTTTTTCCTATGTCTCTACTTCTTGGTACCTTGCCACTTTTTGTCCTAAATCTGCTTCTTGGTTCCTTCCCACTCCACTAAAGAATGCAAAAGAATAGAATGAAATTTTACATGACAATTTTTCAGACATTTCCTCTCTTTTCCGGATTTTCTCTGCTATGCCACAACAGGCGTCAAGCAGGAGCGGTCCTTTGAACTTGCAGGTAGCAAGCTCGGGCAGGCTTTCTCCATTACGGCCGACCTAGAGCTTGATCCTACCTTCGCTGCACACACGTAACACCAGATGTGTCACACTATTTCCACAAAAGAATAATAAAAAATAAGTAAACGACAAAGTTGCGCTTGTTCACATTTAAGTTTTGTCCTTAAACGACCAGTGCCCCCAATGGCTTCTGCATCTTGTGTCTGTATGTCAGGCCGGCGTAGGGGAAGTCCAGCAGGAGCCCAGCAGAGGCTCAGGGTGGTTTCCAGAAAAAGAACAACTGTGAGACCAGTCACCAGTGTGAAGTGTCAGACAGCGAGCGTTATGATTCACGGCTGCGGCCGAGGTCTTTTGCTGCATTTCCTCAGTTACCCGAGGTTCAGCAAGTCCAGCATTGAGCGAAACAGAGGTTTGACAATCGAGGCTCTGTGACTCCAACCTTGCGGAAAAAAGACGTTTCCGACCAGTAGAAAGCTTGTTTTTTATTTTTCTAATTTTGACTAAGCTATATATTGTCACATATTTATGAACTAAAAGAGCACAATTTGTGAAACAAACGCGAAAAATAAAAAAAGAAGACCAACATATACATTCTTCGCTCAAATTCACCTTTTAGGCTTTTACTACCTACCTGCCACTACTACTAATCATACTTGCGGTCTGGTGCAGGACCTCCCCACCTCCGTAGACCTGTACCCATACCGTACCGGACCGCACGAGGGCGTGGGCTGTCCGGAGCGGCCATCTCCCGTATGTATGGTTTCACGCGTGAACTG